CACCGCTCGTCCCCGGCAGAAGACAGTGTCATCTCCTGGTCACGCAGCCACCGCTTTGTTACGTCCCCCATGTCACATGCTGCACAGCCCATGGCACAGCAGCTGGGGTTTCACTGACCTGGGCACAGTGGCTGCTCAGAGAGAAGCAAAGACACCCAACCGAGAAGCGCTTTTCACTGATGAGAGCAAAGACTCAGAGCAACGGCTACAGCTCCTGGCATCTTTTCAAATGTCACAGGTTATGTTAAAAAAAAAATGTATTTTCCTGTACAAGTCAGAGCCAAAGCTCTTTCCTCCTGGAGTTTTCCCCCGTGGTGTAAAACAACGGTGCCGCAAAGCATGAACCCCATTGTCAGGCTGCAGTCGAACACAGACGAGGGCATCGCTGCTTTTGGTGCCTGGCAAATCTTCCAGCTGAACTGCTAACTCACTGGGAAGGCAGAGAGGCCTCCAGCGTCCTCTCACTGAGAAAGGGAAGTATGCAGGAGCCGTTAATCAGCTCACGTGTGACCCTAGGAAACAGAAGAAAGACAAAACGGAGGTGTTGGGAGGTTCACTCACTTGAGGACTTCCCTGAGGTCAGTTTTAGCTGCAGCAGTGTCTTGTTCTTCTCATCAATCTTCTCCTGGAACTGGGCATTTTTAACCTGAAGCTGCTGCAAATGGACCTCAAGGAGGGTCTCTCCCATCTTCTGCAAAACCCCAAGGAAGCAGGGCTGTAGGTTGCTGACCAAAGCCACATCCCACGTAAGAGAGCTTTAAGTTCTTCATGGAAAGGGTCACTGGGCACTGGAACAGGCTGGAGTCACCACCCCTGGAGGTATTTACACAACGTGTTTCTCTGGTGCTTAGGGACAGGGTTTAGTGGTGACCTGGCAGTGCTAGGTTGGACTTGATCTTAAAGGTCTCTTCCAACCAAAGAGATGCTGTGATCCTGGGAGCTTTGCCCTGTGGGGAAAGCAGACCTAAAGAATCGGCTCTTCAGCCTGGCTGCAAACCAGAAAAGCAAGACTCAGCACGCCCCTGAGTCTGTGCTCCCTGTCCCAGCTTAGAGGGTCCAGGCAGTGCAGAGAGGTCTCATCTCGCACACGTGCCAGGTCTGAAGCCGGGCAGATGGCAGCGCCCTTTGGCAAAGGCAGCAAAGCCAGGAGCAAAGGAGGAAGGAGAGGAGGAGGAGGGTCACCCATCTCCACACAGAGCAGGCCTTACGCTGCACTAGGCTGCGCTCTGTTCATTCTTCAAGGGGCCGTCTAGCCCAACCGCCGCACACACCTGCCTGAGCTGCTGCTGTAGCTTCCTCTTGCAACCCCCGAGCAAATAATTTTTTAAGCACAACTTCTCTCTCAGCAGATCCTGAAGAAAGACAGCAGGTTAGAGTGGAAGAGCAGAGCCCAGGAGAAGAAAGAGCACCCAGACCCCACTGCCTCTGGTGTGGTTCCCATTCACCTCCCCCGCCCCGCAGCCTTCGCTGCCAGCCTAGAAAGGAGCCCAGCTAGAAAACACGATGAGCGCCACACAGGAGTACAGGAACTAGGATTTTCCCTGACCAGCCACAAAATCTGCCACGATGCACTGACCCTCTGGTGGTTCCTCTCCGCCAAGTATCTCAGTAGCTTCTGCGAAGCTATGATACTCCCTCTCTTGCCTGAGCTGGTGCTGACGATGTCCTCAAAGTCACTGACGGCTTTCTTAACATCAGTCCACCAAATATCCGCCTGAAGAAATAAAGTCATGTAACCATCAAGAGGTGCTCACTTCCCTTATTCACACAACTCTGGGAACAGAGAACACTGGAAAGGACCAGGCACGCTCTCTGCCGGTGTCACTGGCATTTCTCCTGTGGGAGCATCGCCTGTCACCACCTTGTGCAGCCCAGGGTGCGTGGTGCAGGCTCACCCAGCATTGCTGCTTCACTGACTTAAAAAGAACAAGAGAAAAAACAAAAATCTCTCACGTGCCTGAGCTTCCACATCTGTCACTCCACCCTGACCTGCCTTTCCCAAGTCGGTCTCACTGCCTGCAGGATGGCGTGGAGGGTGAATGAGCTGTGAGAAGTGACAACACTGATGCCTTGGTGATCGTAAGGGACCTGGAGGGCCACACCTCCAGATTCCACAAGGTCTCCTCCTTCATCCTCTGAATCTCATCCTGCATCTCAGCCAGCTGCCAGTCAGCCAGCTCCCATCTCTGCTCCACTGTCAGGCCCACCGAACGGTCCATCGCACCGCGCCGCTTGGATCCGTGCCTGCTGCGTGTCTGCAACGACCGAGGAACAGCGCAGACACCGTTAGAAAGCCAGCGCTGGCAAAGTGTCGCTGCAATTTCCTGTGTTCGAAAAGAAAATAACCTCAACGGTCATGTTAGCAGGATTCCAGTTTGCAGCAAGGAGACCTTTCCAGAGCAGAGCGGAGGTAACACGGGGCCATGCCTGGGCTGACCCCATCTGCCCTCTCCTCCACCAGCAAAACCCTCCTACGCAAGTGCTTTGAGTTCAATTCAACAGCCACGGTCAGGGCTGGAGGTAAAGGCTGAAACAGCCCTCTGTGGCGAAGACGCTAACTGTCCCGCGTGCCCTCGGGGGACACGAATGCACATGGGGACACGGGGGGATATGGCTACAGGGGCCATAAGGGACACAGGTGCAGGGACAGGGGCATGGGCAGACCCAGGACATTGAAGACAGCATATGGGGACACTCATGGACACGGGACATGAAACACAGGACCTGGGGGGACATAGGGACATGGGGGCACATGGGGACACAGGGACAGGGGGCACAGGGGCACAGACTGACGTGTATGCAGACACGCATGCAGCCGGACACATGCACACACATACTGATACAGGGTGACACGCCTGCACACACACATGCAGCTCGGGCCCTGTGTCCCCACCCACGCAGGGGTCCCAGGGGGTCCCACAGGCCCCAGGGTGGGGGAAAAGTGCTTCTGGAAGGGTGTGGGGTGTGACAGCCCCAGGTGGCCCTTGCCCAAGGGGTTGCAGCTCAGGGGACCCTGAGACCCAGCGAGGCATCTGTAGTGCAAACGTATCCTTGAGGGGCTTGTCGGAGAGACGTGGGGTGCGATGCCAAGGGGACAACCCTCCTGGGGGTCTCCTGGGGGTGCGTATTGCTCTCGCTTCTGCCATGCCTGCTTCCTGCTGGCTCCTGCTGGTGGACGAAGCGTTTAACAGGAGCTGGCAACGTGTGCGTGCAGCCCAAAAAGCCAACCATGTGAGATGCATCCAGAGCAGCGTGGTCAGCAGGTTGAGAGGGGATTCTGCCTCTGCTCTGCTCTGGTGAGACCCCACTCATGGTTCTGTGCCCAGCTCTGGAGCCCCCAGCACAAGAAGGATGTGAACTTGTTGGAGCAGGTCCAGGGGAGGCCACAAAGTGCTCAGGGGGCTGGAGCACCTGCTCAAAGATGCTCAGGGGGCTGTGAGGACGGGCTGAGGGAGCAGCCTGCCAGTGCCTGAAGGGGCTACAGGAAAGCTGGGGGGGCACTGCTCACAAGGGCGTGTAGCAGCAGAGTGTGGTGATAGAGGAGAGATTTAGATTGGATGTAAGGAAGAAATGTTTCACAGTGAGGGCGGTGAGAGCCTGGCACAGGGTGCCCAGAGAAGCTGGGGACGCCCCATCCCTGGGAGTGTTCCAGGCCAGGTGGGATGGGGCTCGGAGCGGGAAGTGTCCCTGTGCAGGGCAGGGGGTTGGAATGAGATGGGTGTTAAGGTCCCTTCTGACTCAAGCCATTCTATGATTCTATGATTCATCCTCGCCAGGCATGCCAGGATCCAGCCTCTCAGCTGGGTGGCAAAGAGGAGCTGGGGGTAGACGCTGTCTCGCAGCTCACATTTGGGGCACAGCACAGCAGGGGTTCCTCTGCCCATGCCGCTGCAATCACCATCTGCCTGTGAACCCCGGGGAAACAGCAGCACCAGTCCCGAAGGCAGCTGCCCCCACGGACACGCCGCATTTTGGGAGGTTTGCGAGGGTGTGGAGCGCCGTTTTGAAGGGTCCCCGTTGGTGGGTCACAGCGCAGCGATGTGCTCCGACCTCCCCGTGCTGGATGCTCAGGACCAACAGCGGCGGGTGGCGGGTCTGTTTAAATGTGCGTCTCTGCCCCACAGGTTGATGCTGTGGCTGGTGATGCATTGCCACAGCTTTTCTGGGGTGAGGGATGCAAGTCAATCTAATTCTATAAACAGAAAAATCAATGCCCTGGCAATGCTGGTCCTATTTCTGGCTAGAACATGTCAAAACTCATCCTCAGAACTCATCCTGAGTCATAACTTCATGCGAGCCATGGGAGGAACGACGCTTCCCAGTTTCATTGGGTGGAGGGATAAACGCACTTTGTCACATTCGGAACTCGATGCCAGAAATCAAGCGTTTTTTTATGAGAAGGAGGGGACAGCACATATGCGACACAGCCTGGGGATCCTCTTTGCATGCAAGGTGGGATGGAAATCCCATGAAAAAGCTTAGCATGAGGCTACGAATTACAACCTGTGTTAAAAGCAGTGCTTTGTGTGAGCTGGCTGGCTAAGACTGCAGAGAAAATTATAACACCAGACTCTCAGCCCTTGCACCAGCCCACGTTTTGTGACGCTTTACCCTGAC